CATGAAGGCTGGCGAGCTGATCTACCTGGACTTTCGACCGACTCCAAGTCTTCCAGCAAGTCAGAAGCATCGTCGGGAGACAAAATGAAGATTGCTTGGAGATATGAGAGTTTGGGCTCTGCAGGGGCAGCGAGAGGTATGCTGTGAGCCAACATTCTGTACATAAGCCCATAATCAACTAACATGTTATTCAGATAGAGAAGTCCAACGAGCGCAGAGTGCATCCAATGCCGGCACTACGGCACCTTTCTGCCATTCGTTCGACCTCACAAAAAGGTTGTCTCCTGGCGACGCGAAGGGCCAGATCGGGTTTCACCAATCTATGTCTATATCAGGCCTTGGGGTTCAACAGATGTCTCCTTTCAAGCTCTTCATAAGAGACTTATCATTGAGGCTGGCGAATTCTCCATCGTCATCGGTCCATCGTGTCATAGTCCCCAATCTCTTATCCCCAACTACGTATTCGAGCTCGTCTTCCATTCCCCAGGAAGTTCTACAATTCTTGCACGCTTTGAGAGCCCTGTTAAGACAACATCCCAGAATTCTAACCGTTGTTTTGACATTGCCTCTCTCCCTTTATCCTCGGACAACAGGCCTTGTACGTTGGATGGAATTGTTATGTGATGGTGTGCTCGAGTTCATACCTCTGCAATCTACAAATATCCATAAACCCCCACCATCATCGAAAAGTGAACGAAAAGACGACGAAAAAGTTCAAGGCCTGATCAAAGTCCACAGCCTGCCAATTTTCCATGAGAAAGGAGGCGGTTCGCACTCAGCACTAGATGACCAATCGTTCAGCCTTAGTAGGTCAAAAGGACTGATAATTAAACCATTCTATCTTCCTCCAGCCGACGGAGAGGAGAACGAATCCAAAGTAGCGGATTCTGGAAAGCCAAGCATGGATTTCTAAGACTACCTATGTTAAAGTTCTTTAAGTCTCGCGACTAAATCTACTTTGATTAGAATACATTTATTCGATATTAGCATAACCTTATGACGCGACTTATTGCATATCATATACACTAACAGAGTTCGGTCTCCACCCACACCCGACATCTCCAAAAATTCTCCCCAAATTTCAACCAGACTCCAATCTACAGCATTCAAACCACAATAACAGGTGAGTCAACAAAATATCATTTTTCCTTATGTTTCGACAATGATTACACCCAATAAATATCTGTCAATCCACTGAATAACTCATTCTGTTGATATCATCTATATCTGGTTTTATGATCCTACGTCCTTTTGCTCTACCGTACTGCTGCAGGCATGAGGAGTTTATCATCTAACTGATTCCCAGACAGGATACCTACCAAGGTGATAATGGCTTCAGCCTCATGCGACGACCGTCCTCTTGTGAGGATAGCAAAGGTCGCCGGAAGGTACTTGCTGTTCGACATAGACGACGTGATGTATTTACGCAGGAACTACAATATATGCTCCGTCTTCGTAGGGACTATCCCCCAGAATCCTCAACAGAACCTTTTCATGGGGCTTCCCTTAGAACTTATGCCGGAAGAAACACAAGTTCTTGTCGACAAGAAGGTAGCTTATGTCGCTGACGACGCAACGTTCCACCCAGCCCGGTTGGCGACGTTCGATGAGCCGTCCCGACGGGCTTACGTACATTCGCTCAAGGATCAGGGTAAGAAGATGCAGATAGCTGTGATCGAGAGCTATAATCGCAATAAACCCAAGTCATTAGAAGGAAATTCAAGAAAGAAGCAGAGGAAGAAGGAACCAGAAGAACCAGCAGACTCTATCAATCACCATATCGGCGGTGATGTCGAGGCAGATGAGAGCAGTACTCTCTTCGATTCGGCATCCACGCCACGCAACAAATTGCCTAGCGAGGTTGAGGGCTACGTACTCACACCCACCACTAGCAGCTTTCTTCTACCGTCCTCACCACCCCCAGAACCAGAATCCTCAATTGCCGTAGACGTCCCTGTATCCTATCCCCTGTTTGCGCACTTGCACGATAAGGGATATTATATGATGCCAGGCATTCGCTTTGGCTGCGACTATAACGTGTACCCCGGTGATCCCTTGCGTTTCCACAGTCACTTTGTCGGCGTCCACTTCGCTTGGGATGAAGAAATCACAATGATGGATCTTGTGGGAGGCGGGCGACTTGCTACTTCTGTCAAGAAAGGATATCTCTTTGGTGGGGCCGTAGCTGACGGAACGGATGTCAAAGAGGTTGGCAACGGTCACGGCATATCACGAGATGAAGTGAATGAGCAGCCTAAACTTAGAGGTGGGCCAGTGGCACCACCAGTTAGGACTTTTTGTCTGGAATGGGCAGGCATGTAGCGAGGAACCAGGTAGATACTGTTAGCCCACGGGATAATGCTAACTGGTTTGGCTAAACACTACATATGTTAAGAACTGATGACCTCGTCTAGTGACGTCATAATATTTCTCGTGTTCGTATGTACATACGCAGAGGCATGGCAATATATATGCTTAAATTCAACAACATGTGATTTAATTACTGTCATTCTAACAGAAATCTATCCGAACAAATAACTTCCCAACGTATCTGATATACTGCGGTGTGTCTAAAGCACGTCAAGTTGAAGTCCCGTCGTTAATAACCACCTATTTTCCGTAATACAGCGTGCCAAGCAGGGGCAGATACTTTCTCATTCAAGGTTCTCACCCCGAATCCCAGGTTCTTGGCTGCTGCAAGGGTGCTACTAGAGCATACTCAGTATACTGCCCATGAATAATAACTGTACAAGACACGACGTCACAACCCCACATGCCATTTAATCTCACCACCTCCCTTCAAGATTAAGTTCAGGACAAGATCTTTATAGAATCGCTCAGCGATGTCCTAAAAAATGCCCAAGAAAATTCACAGCAATGCCTCAGGATAATAAGGACACAGCTGAAGTTGACGCCGCTGAAATCGCCTCCATCCACGATATCGGACCACCGCCCCTAGATGAAGACTACGTGAACCCTGCAGAAAAGAGCCCCCGTTGGCTGCTTGGGATCCACGCCTTCACGCTCCGCTTCTTCGCTAGCATCGGGTTCAACATTAGTAACCGGTCAGGCATACCCGCGACAGCTCCTACGGAGATAATTTGGCTAGATTCCACTCTAAGTGCGTGGAAAGGCAAAGAACAGCTCAGCGCAAATGTATGGATACCGCCAGACAACACGCAGCCGTCTAGTGCTGGGAAGAGACCGGCTATCATCAATTTCCACGGCGGTGGGTTCATCCTCGGTCATGGAACCGATGATTCGCGATGGGCCAATATCCTTGTGAGCAGTTTGGGCGCCGTGGTTTTCTCAGTTAACTACCGTCTCGCTCCGCGCTATCCATTTCCAACACCGGTAGAGGACTGCGTCGACGCTATTCTTCAGATATACCAGCTTGCCGATCGATACAATATCGACACCAATCGCATCGTACTATCTGGCTTCTCTGCTGGTGGAAATCTGGCTGTGAGTAGTTGGGTTGTCTTAGCGGATCCTACGAGATGGGATTATGATATACCAGAGCCGTTGCCCAAAATTGCTGGCCTTGTCTTATATTATCCTCCACTTGACTACACACTGGACCGGCCACAAAAACGAAAGGCTTGCAAACATCCTCATAGAACACTATCGAGCGGACTGACAGATCTGATCGATGCATCGTATCTACACCCTCCGGTTCCAGGGCGTGAACGAACTGACCTACGGCTGTCACCGGGTTTGATGCCAGATGAGCTGGTAGACCGGTTACCTCCCGTTCATATGTGCCTCTGTGAATACGACATGGGTCTAGCTGAGGGCAAGCTGTTCGCAGAGAAGCTCGAAAAACGCGGCAAGAAGATCAGCGTCCGGATTGTTGAGGATGAGGAACACGCTTGGGACAAACCCTTGCCTTTAGCGCCAAAGGACAGTGTTGCGTTTGAATACGACATTTCAATAGCCGCCGTCAAGAGCTGGTTTGATGCGCTATAAGAATTTATTATATTCCTATGGAATTTTGAGAGGTCCCTTCGTTGACAGGGACTATGATCCAATCACAATGACAAGACACAAGAATATACACAACCCCTAATGGCTCGAGGCATCTGCAAGACTACATAAATCACAGCGGGAAGATACATTACGAAACAGGATGAATTTCCTTCAATTACAACGATAAGCTGATATCACGCATTGCTATGTTGGGGGATCGTAAGGTTTAGACTCAGTATTCCCGATGCTCAAAAAAAAAATCACTTCTAATGCGTGAGTACTTCTCATAGCAAGTGGTGCGATAATCTACGATATTCAAAACGCAATTCTGCGACAAGAGTTGGGTGTTTACGCTATACACCCCCGGATTTTACTAAGAGCTGACGATTAAACGGTTCACATTTTACGATCAAGAAGGGGTTTCGGGCATATGACACCAATCCCTCCCACTCTTATTATTATTCTTTGCTGATAAGCGCGTGATGAAATACCTTATACCAATGGATAGGGGGACTGAGACAACGGAAAGGAGCATGGTGTAAGCAATATACAGCTAGAACCTCCAATGGTCTTATAAGCCGAAGAGGAAGACTATAGGCCAAATACGTGAATAAAGGTTATGTAAAGAAACCATTTCATATTATACGAGTACGATAATAATAGAATATGCAAAAAGGTCTTCTATTTGAAAATATTATATGATAAGTACAATACAATCGACTCAACACACCATCTAGCGGCTCTGGTTTCAATTGTGGGCTAGGTAGTTAGCCTCTGTGAGACATACAGACGTTCATTCCTTTTATCAGCTCTTATTGACTAGTCCAGCATCCTATCCTAATTCTAGGATAATATAGAAGTTATGATTAAGAATTGTAGTTTATACTGAACATGGTACTTGAAGTTCTATGTTTCTATATGCCCTACTACCTTACTTTAAAGGGGTCCCTCGGCTAGAGGTGCCACGGGGACCGAGACAAATGCGCCCTTGTAGAACAAGCAAAGCAAACATGAAAAAAGACACAGCAAAAAGCTGTGGCCCGGGTTCGAACCGGGGATTCAGGAATTTAATAATTATGAAGTTCTTATCAAAATCCTACGTGCTAACCACTACACTACCTCAGCAAGGGGGGTGCATCTGCAGATTGATGATTGGAAACCACGCCGTCCAAAACACACTCATAGAACAGCCAGATCCTCCCTGCGAAACAGAATAGAACAACGCGCATATAACTGCGTCGCTTCTGCACAATTTAGCCATCCCTTTCTAAATATAGGGAACATTCCTGTACTGCTTTTTATCGGTTTCCCTGGGGTAAGAGTGGAGGAAGTTGATTTGCTGTCCATGATCTGAAGGCGAGGAAATAAAGAGGGGTTTAAAAAGGAGTAGAAAATATTAGACTGTGTATGTGACAACAGCTATACAACATTATTCATAACACGATGGGAAAATACAAAGCTTGTAAGATCATCCAAATTGCTAGATACGTAGGCAGGTAGGCTCTTCGAGGCGAGATGTAACGGTAGTAATCCTAAGTAGTCACCGGGAAATCGGCGCTTTTTTATAACCTCGGCGGGGCAGCTCGGAAAAGCGCGATAGAGTCATGGCGGGGTCGACGAAGAACCTCCCCGCGATGGCGACATTCCATTCCATTACTCACACTTCCGGTGCAATATCGAACAGCTCTGCCCACCGTAGCCTAGCATTGACGAATAAGAGGGAAGCTAGGAACGTAGATTTTTTTTAATTTAACTTTTTTTTTTCATTTCTTTTTGACTTGTCATAAACCCTCCCCTGTTATTCACCCATCCTATATGCCCCTCCATCGCACAACAGCTTCAATCCACCATACACTGCGCACGCTTCTTCACAGCCACCTGCGACCAGGATCCAGCCCGCATCTCCCCCCTTTCCAAAAGGCCCTTCTCACCCCGAGAGTCGCATCGCGCACCATGTCCTCGGCAGTTGCGAAGCGCCTCGCCGGCAAGACGGTGTTGGTGACGGGCGCGTCGTCCGGCATCGGACGCAGCACGGCCTTCGAGTTTGCGCGGACGGCGGCGCCGGCGGGCGGCCTCAAGCTCGTGCTCACGGCGCGCCGCATCGACACGCTGAAGCAGATCGCCGCCGACATCCAGGCCGAGGTCGGCGAGTCCGTCAAGGTGCTCCCCGTGCAGCTCGACGTGAGCAAGCCTGACGAGGTGCGTGGTTTCGTGGCCAAGCTGCCCGAGGAGTTCAAGGAGATCGATGTGCTTGTGAATAATGCGTAAGTCTCATATTTACTTACATGCCTACTTCCCTCTCTGTCGTCTGTCTCGATCTATCTACCCCTCTCGCGAAGATCGCGAGTAAGCAAATTCGTAAGGAATCAGAGGGAGAAGCGCGCAAACGCACAAAACACCATAGCACAAAAAAGGATGGCAAAGACTAACGCGAAACAGCGGTCTCGTCAAGGGCGTGGCCAAGGCGCCCGAGATAGCCGAGGAGGACGTGGACATCATGTTCAGCACGAACGTGACCGGCCTGATCAACATGACGCAGGCGATCCTGCCCATCTTCCTGCGCCGCCCTAACGGCGGCTCCGGCGACATCATCAACATCGGCAGCATCGCCGGCCGCGAGCCCTACGCCGGCGGCAGCATCTACTGCGCCACCAAGGCCGCCGTCCGCAGCTTTACCGACTCCCTGCGCAAGGAGCTCATCGCGTCACGTGTGCGCGTCCTCGAGGTCGATCCCGGCCAGGTCGAGACCGTGAGTGTGCTATCTGTCTTTTGTTTTGGGATGCTCTTCTTTCTACAAAAAGCTGGGACTTTGCGGGGCCTGGTGTGGGCTATATGCTAATATTAACATAGGAGTTTTCTGTCGTCCGGTTTTATGGTGATAAAGCCAAGGCTGATGCCGTATACGCGTGAGTTCTGCCAGCTCTTGTTCCGAATTGCTAATCGCTAATGACACTTATAGTGGTTGTGACCCTCTCACTCCTGATGACATTGCCGAGGTTGTTGTGTTTGTTGCCGGAAGGAGAGAAAACGTTGTGGTGGCTGACACACTAATCTTTCCCAACCACCAGGCTGCTGCCGGAGTCATGCACAGAAGGTCATAGGAGTGCAATAAGATGCCGTGTATTTATTGATTTTATAGACAGTAGATAAACAAGTTGCTTGTACAAAGACTACCAAACATAGTTGATCATGCATGGCTACGATAGCTATTCCATTGGTCACAGCTTCTTCTACTTTTCTCACCTTCTTACCCCGCGTACAAGGTGGGTGGCCTTTAGTAGTATAGAATAGGGCAAGTAGATCTAATATCAAAAGGTGTCAGTAAGGTCAAAATACTGACGTGATTCGAAACGTAATACGATGTCCTTAGTTCAGCAAACCAGTTTACTCATTCACATGTGTCGGCTCTCCACCACGCATCTCAAAACGAGACACGAGAATGGAAAACTCGGAAGCCAGCATAACACTTTCAACGACTCCAGCACGAGACAAGAGCAGCTAATAAGCAACTCCACAACCAATCATCACCAGCCTAGAAAGGCCAACTCCGGTGAGGGAGGGTGGCTCGACACATTGTGAGATAGTTGAATGGATAAACAGTTTTCATCATGATAGGCAAAGTGTAGGTATACAAGTGAAGATAGATAGCTTACCATTCTTGAATTTGCACGGGCTATAAATTATCCGAGGGACATGCGATGGCATCTAAGTAAATCTGAGCAATGGTCAGTTGACTATCCCATCACAAAAAGGTGCTTAGACAGGTTTGAGAAGAGTTGTTAGATCAGAGTAAGATATTTGGTATATGGGTATCTTCATTAGGTTCAGAAGCAGAACTGAATGAATAAGGTCTCATCACATAGGAATGAAAAGTAACAAATAGAGAGAAAGGGATATAACTGACCTGCTAATTAAAATATCGATACAGGCAAAGTAAGATAGGTTTGACCTGCTTGCTATGCTACTAAGGCTATTGCGTCAGCTTTTGGTCTAGGAATTTGTTTCTAGAAAATGCAGGCAAGACGGTGCTTCAGATGGTAGTGCATGTTTAGTTCAGTACGCTCAGGAGATCGCGAGAACAGTGGATAGGATTTCATCAATAGCGACGGGGAAGTAAAGGAAATGGTATTGATCACGAGACCGAAGACTGAGTGCGAGTTCCAAACTTACCTCTTACCATATTTCTACCAGAAATTAGTTGGGTGGCCAGGAGCTCCGTCAAACTCGGGTAGCATCATAATCAAGAAATAAAGCAATGCTCTAGGCTTTCCAGATGCTCGCTTCGATCTGGGCCTTGAGGTGCTGTTCTCGAGGTGATTGATGCCAGACTTTGCGAGAAGGCAGAGGAAATGTTAGGCAACTGGAGGAAATGAAGCTGCAAAATTCTTTTGAATGAAATTTAAGGGAAAGGCTGGTCTCTAGTGGAGCCTATTATGGGATTGGCAGCTGTTGGCGGGGCAAATCGATAAGGCGGGCAGGTGGGCTGCTCTCTATCTATCATCTCGGCAAGCTTATTTATTAGCTTATAGCTTCAACACCAACAAAAGCTGCTCCAGTGTGCTTGTGATTTTATATTTGCCAAGCTGGTCGTATGAACAACGCACCCGACAATCCAGGCCAGCATGACTGACCGAAGAAGGATAAATGGTCCCGTGGGAACGACACTACCTCCCATCTATGACAGCCCTCCTCCACCTCGGAATCGCACAGAGAAGCCTGAAAATGCCATCCGCAAGATTTGTATGTAGCAAGCTGCGACGAAAGTCTTTGTCCACCCTGTGCGCTCTCGCCGGCTAAACTTCCATGCGTAGTCCTAAAAACAGGTGTCACGCCGTCTGCTTCCGGTTCTGCCTACTTAGAGCTTGAGAACCCCAATACGACTGGCCCGAGCAACACGAGCCTCAAGCTGACTTGTACCGTCCATGGCCCACGAGCTCTCCCACGATCTGCGCCGTTCTCCCCCCACATCATTCTGACAACCCATGTCAAATATGCCCCGTTTGCAACGAAACAACGCCGCGGCTATTTGCGAGATTCGAGCGAGAGGGACCTGGGTGTACACTTGGAGACCGCGCTGCGAGGGGCCATCATCGCAGACCGCTGGCCCAAGAGCGGTGTCGACATTATAGTCACTGTCATAGAGGGCGATCAGGATCGCAATGCACCCGAGAACCAACGCGAAGATGGATGGGATACAATGAATGTGCTGAGTGGTTGCATCACTGTGGCCTCGGCCGCAATTGCCGATGCCGGCATCGATTGCGTCGACACCGTGGCTGGAGGCGTCGCGGCGCTGGTCGCCAAAGACGCAACAAGCCCCCCGTCCATCGTTCTCGACCCAGCCGTTGCCGATTACCACAAGATCTTTGCGGCTTGCTGCATTGCTTATCTGCCCACACGAGATGAGGTCACGAACATTTGGTTTAAGGGTCAGCTACCCGGCGCTGATGTCATGTTGTACAATAATCTGGTCGAGAGATCATTGGTGGCGTGTCGCAATGCCAACCGTGTTGTCGTCACGGCTCTAAAGAAAACCATCAATCCCGAGCAAGAGGTATCATGAGCTCACAGACTCCAGCAAACAAACTTTCAGGCGTATCGAAAATACTGTATAGGCATAGCCTTACAGGTTGTATGGCCTAGTGACTTGAAGCACATGGAAACCTACTTAGATCTACACGAATGGGATGTAGACGAACGCCCAAGACGGCAATATCAGCTTCAATAGGGCACACTCGGCGTGGTACGTGCTAAGGTAGTATTCATTAGACGCTATACTACGGTACCTTCCTAACGGCCTCCGGTATGGAAGATGTGGACGTAGACCGGTGGAGCTGGGCAAAGAGCTGCAACAACTTCGAGACCATTAATGATACTGCAACGTAGGTACAGTGTCGGGCATAAAAGCGGCACCATGAGGATATTGGTCAACCTGACTGGCTTGACCATATGAGCAAAACTCGGTGTAGAAGGTTTGTATGGGCACGGTTACCAGGTTAATGCCCAGCATAGCCTTGAAGGGCTATTCTTCATCTGTATACTTATTATGTATGATGACAGCATTAGCCAAGATAAATGCGAGCCAAGCCCAAACGGAAGATTGTGCAATGCGAACACGAATTGAA